GGCAGGCTACCTCAACGAACTCGTTGGTGTTGACATCATCGGACCCATTGCCCCATCAGTCCGCGGCAACTGTTATATTCTGGTCATGGTAGACTTCTTTACGAAAATGGCTGAGGTGGAACCCTTGCCCAGTATGTCGGCGGACACGGCCGTTCAGGTCATTTTTAATGGTTGGGTATGTAGATGGGGGACCCTAGACCAAATTGACTCAGATCGAGGAACTCCATTTGAAAACGCAGTTCTTCACAGTCTCTGTAAGTACCCACGGATCAACAAGACACGCACTACCGCTTACCACCCGCAGGGTAACGGACAAGTGGAGCGAACGAATAGGACGCTAATCGAATTGTTAAAAGCCTTCGTAGACCGCCAGGCCCCCTCACGTGGGACGATGCCTTACCCGCATGCATGCTCGCATACAACTCCACGATTCACTCCTCGACCAAACAGTCCCCTTTGCTCTCACCTGTGGTCGGGAAATGCGGATACCGAATGACTTCCAAATACCACTGGAGAATACCCAAGTACTCGATTTTTGCATTCAGAAAAGCTTCCTCAAATTTTGGGTTCTGAATCCACTGATCGACTCTACCGTAGCGATGGCGTTTGTGGTCTCTGAACACTATGGACGTTCTCACCAGCTGTTCCTAAACGCCTCTACTTTGACTATCCCCTACTTCATGAAAGGAATTGACGTCCGATGATCTCCGATAACGTGCAACCACCTCCCCCCATTCTTGACGGTCGAAAATATACCGCCAGCAGTTTTTATTCTTTTGAACCCTTCAAACTATAGAAAACATTATCAAATATATTTTTATTTTTCAGGAGTTTTTTTCACTGCTGGTCGGATTTGTGTTTAATTGCATCCCTTGACAATGCCTGTAAACTGGCATTTAATAAATTAAAATAAATTAAAATAAAATTAAATTACCATTTAATTCTTATGTCTCCAGGCCACATAATAAGTTGCGTATTTCAACCCAGGAAGTGCTAAGACACTTACGTGGATCCCAAAACCAACAGAAGGACCATTATTACAGACTTGCCCAGGGGTGCCCATGGGTGCCATATGTCGTTGGTGATATCGTATGGCCCAGAGCACGTACAGCCCCGCAAGTAATGCCGAGTAAATTTGTGTTAGACTGGTCAGGTTCGTACACTGTAACGAAGGTGATCTCTGACACGACATTTGTGATTCAGGACCGCGAGCGACCTTTCGCGGCGGAACATATCTTTCACTTTAATCGACTAAAGTTGTGATAGAGACCCGATGCATATGGTCCCGATGATCAAGAAAATGCCGTCTGTGATGTCGATCGTGACCAAGTTGGAAGGATCGATGAAATTCCACTCGAGGGAGGGGACGAGTTTCAAGAACCCTTTAGCGACAGACGGCAAAATTTGGAAGACCACAGGTCAATGGTAGGTAGGATTAAGCTTTCTATAAATTCTAGTTTGACTGTGTTAACTTCTTTTCGACGGACAGGCATCTCGAACCTAAGTGGCACTTCAGTACCGCTGGCACGGAGGGCGTTAACGTTAAAGTCGAGAGAAAACTTAAATGCGTGAAGAAAATCTGCGCCTAATATACAATATACGGGAATGGTAGGGTCGACGTCATCTACACGGACTTCAAGAATGCGTTCGACAGCGTCCCACACATATGCCTAATCTACAAACTTTCTGAAATTGGGATAAGAGGAAGGCTGCTGACATGGATAAGGGGTTTTCTTACAAGGAGATCACAAAGGGTGTGCGTTAATGCGTCGACAATCTGGGATGCAGCGCGATCATGTTTGCTGGTGATGTTAAGCGGTGGAGAACCATCAAATCTGACGCAGACAGGTACGCGCTTCAAGACAGTCTCAACCGTCTGAAGAGTTGGTCAGCACGTTGGCCCCTTTATTTTAATGTGGACAAATGTGTGGTGTTGAGATTCCGCACCAAAAAGACCAGTAAGGAGCACGATTCCTTTCAATAAGTCCTGGGTGGTCAACCCCTTTCAAATGTTCTGGAACAGAAAGACCTC